TTTGAATCATATCTTAAAAGTCGGCAGCAACGAGTAGTTATTGAAGGCAGTAGCTCATCTTGGAAAGAAGTTAACGCAGGAGTGCCTCAAGGATCTGTTCTGGGCCCGCTTCTGTTTTTAATGTGGTTAAACGTAGATTTAAGCGAAGTTAACGGCAGATGTATCTAGCAGCGGGGAGCCCCTGACGTCACTTAGAACAGTTGCAATTATCGCGCATCCGTCACTTTGCTACAGCTTGGCTAGCCAGCTACAACTGCTCTTTCGCTCTGTTCCCCTTCGCCCTTTCCCCACCCTGGTTAATGTTTGTTAATATATGTTAATGATATTCATCATGATATTGATAGTGACTGCTTTCTTTTTGCCGATGATACTATGCTATTGCAGGAATTGCAGGAAGTATTCTCACCACAATCTGCGGCTCACTCTTTGAATAAAGACTTAAATTCTATTTCACTGTGGTCTAGTAAATGGTTAGTCACAATGAACGCTTCCAAAACAAAGAGTATGACTTTCTCCCTGAAAAACTGATCATTCTATTTTGAAGCTAAGTGAAAAGCCAATTGAAGAAGTAAGTTGCCACGAGCATTTGGGTGTCCTACTTTCCAGTAATATGTCTTGGAAAGTTCATATTGAAAAAATTCACCAAAATGCTTCAAAGACCCTTAACCTATTGAAAGGCTTTAAATTTAAATTGCCTAGATTAACATTAGAAATTTTGTATAAATCTCTTGTTCGCTCTAAGATGGAATATGCTAATGTTGTTTGGGATGGGTGTACAATAGGTGAATCGGACCTGCTCGAAAGTGTTCAGTATGATGCAGCAAAATTAATTTCTGGAGCAATGAAAGGTACACACAGAGAAAGTGTGTTGATTGATTGCGGGTTGCATATGTTAAATAACTGGAGAAAAATACAAAAGTTGTTGTTATTGTACAAAATGGTTAAAGGTTTAGCTCCAAGTTATTTGTTGGATCTTTGTCCTGTTTACGTAAGCCAAAGAACTACATATAGGCTTCGGACTAGGAATGATTTAAGTTTACCTTTCATTCGTACGAGAAAGCAAAAAAATCCCTTTTGTATTCTACAATTTTTTCATGGAATAATCTTTCTGAATCCACGAGAGAATCTGCAACATTTGTTCTCTTTAAAACTGCTTTATTAAGCCGGTTTTCCACTAGCGATTTTTTTCGCGCAAAGCGACTTTTTTTCGCCGATTATAGGGGCGAATTTTGTCGCACAGCTACTTTTTTCGCAAGTTCTGAAAATTCCTGCAAATTACATAACAAAGATGGCGGCAATCAACTTAAGACGTCTTCTGGCTGTAAAGAACAATATAATTTGTTTGCTGTTGCTGAAAAGACGTCAAAAGCGCTTAAATAGGTACAAAAAACGGTTCTCAGTTAGACAGATTTATGCAGAACGAAAACAGAAAGGCGAATATCATCTTCTTGTCAAAGAACTTATGCTTCATGATCAAGAATATTTTTTTAACTCTTTTCGGATGTCGCCAACTACGTTTGAACGATTACTGTCTTGGATAGTACCACTTCTCCAAAGAGCTACCACTAAAATGCGTGAGCCAATTGGCCCTAGCGAGAGACTGTGTGTTTGCTTAAGGTACTTGGTTACTGGTGATGCCCAGGTTACAATTGCTGCAAGTTACAGGATAAGTGCTGCAGTTGTGGGAAGGATTATCAATGAAACTTGTGAACTGTTGTGGAACACTCTGATTGAAAAAGGTTATGTTAAGCACCCGTCAACAGAGAATGAATGGAAAGTAATTGCCGAAGAGTTTGAGACTTGTTGGAACTTTCCTCACTGTGTAGGTGCCATAGATGGTAAACATGTTTTAATGCAGGCTCCGGGTAATTCAGAATCTGCTTACTTCAACTACAAGAAAACGTTT